ACCCCATGGTTTAATTTCTTGAAGAATGTTTTGTTCCGGTTGAGTGCTCGACGGCTGTAGATGGAGGAAATAATTTATTTAGAAGGTTGGACTTTGAAGTCTGCGGAGTTGTTAAGGCCCCGTTCCGAATCTACTAGCAGTGCGCTATATAATAAGGCACTGGTAAGGCCTATTTAGGCTCAACTCCATACTTGATCTGGATTAGTGAATGGCTGAACTTTTCGAATTTTTATCTAAGAACAGACCTGTCAGGGGTCGCGCACCTTGCATATCATACTCTAGCTCGGCGCGAGTGATCGAACGAGCGAACAAGTGGTAAGGTGAATATTTATCATATGGAGAGAACTCCGCTTTCTGTTCGAACAAACCCACTCCAGTCATTTTATATTTGGTGCAGTTTTTTACTTCCCCCTCATGGCTCCCATGTCGGGGAGGTGGAGGCTTGGGGGTATGTGATGGGTCGGTCATGGTCAAGTCTGCAATTTCGTTGACGGATCGTCGGTGAGAATAGGGGGGTTCGACTACTCGAGTACCGGTGGAGTATAGGGTGGCAAGTTCATGACTCGAGTACTGGTATGTATGTACTGGTGCTCGAGCACTGACAACCCTCCACAACGTTCCGAAGCAAACGGAAACTTACCCGTGTATCTGTCCGCGAGGTCGCCCGCCTGCTAGCAATGAGCTGATCCTCTTGTTTCCTGCGGTCTGTGTGTGGAGGTATCATACCTCCATACACAATGTTACATTTATATTGTCCGAATAACTCTACGCTTGTCTACTTGAGTATGTATCTTTCCGTTTCTTCGCTAGATAACCAGCATTCTAGAATAGGTCTGGAAAAGTAAACCCCCCAGCGGGCTCTTGAAGTCAAGATAAAGTTGAGCACGTGACCGATCTTGAACGAGTCCAAACTTGTCACTTCGGGAAACCACGTAGAACCAATAAGTCAGATGGGGCCGGGCTCCAGTTTGGCACAATATTGGTTCGTTTAGTTCAGCAAGCAATCGAAGATACCAAAATTGCTATGTACGGCAGCCCACTCGCCTTGAGTAGTCGGTATCTCCAGTAACGCACTCGTGGATGGTCAATGGGGTGTTAAGTAAATCTCACCAGAGGCGGCGGAATTGCTCATCTGGCAGAAGTCCATTTCGGAATCTTGGTATCTTTAGCGTTATCATTGAACTGTGGCGATCGTTCCCCTGCGTATTGAGTGTTTGAAGGACCCGGCGGGGCCCAAGCTTGTCCAATGGTTGTGACAATTATAGACCAGTTTCAAACCTGCTATAATGCACGGGAGGCTAGTTGCCCATGTCGAACTAACAGGGCTTATGCTGTCCTTACTATCCCTGGTTGACATAACCATTACCCATCGCCTCCCAAGGAGTTTCAGATGAACACTCCGGACAGTGGGCGAGTTATAGAACGATGGTGTCTGGGGTGTATCGAACGCTACTAGTTTCCGGTTCCTTGCAGTTGTAGTTGTATGATCAGGCAAACTGGAAAAGAAGGAAGGGAAGAGGCCCGTTTGGACTTCTGAACACTGATGACAGATCAACCGTAACCTAATGCCAGGAATTAATAGGGGGAAAAAAAACCCCCAGGATATGTTTGGAAAGGGCCATATGTTACAGCGGTTTCACATGGTGAGAATATAGCTTTGATATTCGAGTTTGATAGGGTAGGAGGGGATCATTCGGTTGGAAGGAAAAAAGGGGGAAGGGGGAGAGGAAAAAATAGATTGTTGCCGTATTATACCAGAACAGTGCTATTTTTTTCGCCTTGGCGTGGGCAATATACCTGTTGAACGTATGATGAGACTCCAGGGGGTTGAATGGGATAGATTGGTTTTCTTGCGTTCTCTGTACCAAGCGGCCCAGTAGAGGTACCGATACTCGTACATCCAACCCATCGCTTCAAATAGCTAGTATCACATAAGAGAGAGAGGCATTGGAGGTGCTTGTCAGGCACTATTGCCATATAATTCTCGTGTTCGGGAAGTCGGTGATTTGCTAGGTGAAGGCCCAGGGTGGGGGACAAGCTTTAGGGTTGCGCAGGTGGCAGAGTGAGACATTGCGTCTTATGTCGTTCGCTGGTGGCAGATCCGAGGCCTTTTATCATTTTATTTCTCCTCCCGCAAGGGTTGGATCACCCCGATCGGTAAATCGCCGGCTGGTTGCTTTGGTACGGTACCGTAACAGAAGGTCTGGAAAAGAATGCCGGTGCCGTATTGTATATATAGAACAGTGTTGTAAATCATCTGCTGTGATGTGATATCAGAAATAAGAGAAATCAAATATGAGCTGTGCCTTCACTTTTGAAGAAGTGCCGTACATAAGCAGAGACACGCGGAGCATATCATGGAATTGGCATCCTGTCAGAAGTAAAGGGATGAAGATGAGAATTTGGAAGGAGAACTACAGCACAATACAGTGCCGGTACTCGAGCACTGTACCCTGGCATATACTCGAGTACGGGGGGGGGGGGTAGAGGGAAGCTTGAAATCGATAGAAGACGCAGGTCGGGTGAGCAATCAAGGGCACGGTCTCGAAAATCATCCGCTCCCGCTGCTGGTAGCTGTGCTGCGCAAAAAATTTCT